TTACACTTCTATCAATGTGAATGTTAACATATCAATGTGAATATTCACATTGTCAACGGGCCGAGCCGGGCCCGCCCTGGGCAGCTGGCCAATTTTATACTCTTATCAATGTGAATGTTAACATGTCAATGTGAATATTCACATTGTCAACAGGTCGGACCGGGCCCGCACACGGGCCGTTGGCCGGTTTTGGGCAGCCACGAGACGCGGGCTAATTTTACACTCCTATCAATGTGAATGTTAACATGTCAATGTGAATATTCACATTGTCAACAGGCCGGGCCGGGCCCGCCCCGGGCCGCGGGCGGGCTTTTGGCCTCCCATGGGTTGTGAGCCAATTTTATACTCTTATCAATGTGAATGTTAACATGTCAATGCGAATATTCACATTGTCAATGGGCTGGACCGGGCCCGTCCATGGGCCACGGGCAGGTTTCGCGCCGCCACAGGACGCGGGCCAATTTTACACTCCTATTAATGTGAATGTTAACATGTCAATGTAAATATTCACATTGTCAATGAGCCGGGCCCGCCCTGGCCCGACTCGAATTTTTCCGGGCACCCACGAAGATCGACATGGATCAGGCCCCTACACATTGACGATATGAACATTCATATTGGCGGTGTGAACATTCCCATTAGGGGTATTTTGGTAATTATGTTACCCATAGGACTTATTGAAACATAAGAAAATAATGTGAACTAAATAGAACATAAGTAGATGAAAAGGGTATTTTGGTCTTCTTATCTCAAATAGGACCTAATGAAATAGTCAAAAAGAATATGAGTTGGATGGAATAAAACTCTTAGAAAATAAATTTATTAAAAAAGCTCCCAATAAAATACTATATCATTCTACTAAGACCATCTCCAACGGTGAATCAAAGTTAGTATCAGATTCAAATTTTGATGAAAAATGCACTTTTTTATGCTTCAACCGTTGCACCAGATTGATATCAAAATGAGATTTCAACAAAAACAGCATCAAACTGAGAACGAGACACAGATTTTACCAAATCACTGTTACTGACCGTTGAAAGAGGTACATCGGTCAACCAGCCGGTTGCCCGGCCAGTTGACCAACCGGTCGACCGCCTAAAGGTTCAAACGGTTCGAAGAAAAGGTTCAAACAATAAAAAAAAAAAAAAAAAATTTTGCCCAGCCGGTCGACCACTAAAAGGTTCAAAAAATTCAAAAAAAAGAAAAAAAAATTCGCTTAACCGGTCGACCAACCGGTTGCCCCCGACACAAATTTGATGAAAGTGCACCGTTTGAGCGAGTGGTATCAAACCTGGTATAATGGGTCATTTTTTACTCAAATTTAGTGAAAAATCTGATTCACCGTTGGAGATGCTCTAAGAGATTCACTTTCCTTTTCTTCTCTTACCTCTTTTTTTGTATGTTGCATGGAATTTTTTTATTTATTATTATCATTATCACTATGCTTGGTTATCATTTTTTAAAAACACTTTTCAGAAAATTCTTCTTTTTTATTTTTCGTGTTTTTTTATTTTTGCTAAATTTTTTTAATATTTTGAGCAATTTTTTTAATTTTTAAACATACCTAACATGCATATACCTAAAAAGTTAAAAAATTGAAAAAAATATTTTAAAAATTCACTAAATACCAAAAATACAAAAAAATACGAGAATTCACTACATTTTTTATATTTTTATGTATTTATTAATTTTTAAAAATATTTTTTCACAAATTTTTTACTTTTTAGATACATCTACGTAAGGTGCATTTAAAAAAATAAAAAATATATATTTAAAATTTTAAAAATATTCACTAAAAATAAAAAAACACAAAAATCAAAAAATTCAATTTTTAAAAAACTTAATTAAAAAAACTCAAACCAAACACATTTTATTATTATTATTATTATTATTATTATTAATTTTTGTTTTGAGTTGTGGGATGGGAAAATGTCAAAACCATGTATTTAATCATTAATTCAAAAAACCTAATATAATCAAAGCCATACAAACCCCATCTCATTTTTTCTCTCCCCTCTCTCTCTCTCTCTCTCTCTCTCAGTCTCAGTCTCTCACAGAATTTATCAAAGCCTAAGAATTGGGGAGTGAAAAAGTAATAACAATAATTGTGATAGACACATCAATATATTCAAGACCTTGATGTATCCATTCTATCTATCATATCTCACTAGTCATTTTATGTCATCAGTGACGACATTTGGAGTCCTACATGACCTTTATTTTTTAACTTTTATTTTACACTTTGTCACAAAATAGTGAGAAAATTACATATAAATAAGAATTGTATTTTATAAATAAAGCCCGACTCTAGTATGATAAATTAAATTCAGGTTAGGCTTGATTGTCTATAAATTTGAGTTATTTATTTATTTTTATTTTTATTGACAATTAGGCTAATTAATTTATATGATAAAAGAGAGACAAGGATTTAAAAAAGTGTACTAATTTCATCTTTTTATCTTTTTTGAGTCACATTAATCAACATCTCCTCTCTATTTTTTTTTACACATAATACAAAAAAAATTAAAAAATATACTTATTTAGTCTTCTCAAACTTGACCTTTAAAAATATATTATTTGATTTCTAAAAAATATCAGCTCAACCAAACTGGACCCCAAATTACATGACAAGAACCATTTTGCCTCCGTTTGGGAAGTGGGTTGGTTTTTTGGCTTTTTGGCTTTTTTGGCTATTTTAGCCTGGGCTAAAAAGCTTGGTTTGGGAAGAACTTTTTGACTTTTTGGCTTTTTTGACTTTTTTTGTGAGAGAAGAAAATAATGATTATAGGTTGGATGTGATGTTTTGTTTGTTATGCCTAAAATAGCCTATTTTATTTTTTGTGACTAAAATAGTTCAAAAAATCTGAAAAAACCCTTGCCAAACACAGGCTTGGTTAGTTAGCCATTATAATGGCAAATTACAAATCAACAACTACTACTTTTGTGTGGCCCTATTATAAACATGTCCCCCAAAAACCATATCGGCAGGGACCCCTCCTCCTATGGGTAACCCTTCATGCACTGTCAATTCATTTATTGACACCAGAATTGGGGTACATTAATTTCTAAGGTTGGGCTTTCCTTTAATTCAGATTTAGACGTATGGGGTGTTGTTCGAGGGAATTGGAGCTAGTGTTGGCACAGCATGCGTGTTGTGAGGTTCTTTGGGGCCTCTCCTAATTGATTTTGATAATTTGAATTTTTTATATTATAAAATTTATTGAGTATATTATTTATTAAAAAAATTAAATTAATCAAATATACGTAATTTTATGATCAATTTTAATTGTTTTTCAAAAAAAAATATCAAAATTATACCTATTGTTTATTTGTTTTTAAAACAGATGTGGTCTTTTTAGAGTTATAGATGTTTAATTAATCAATTTAATTTTTTTTTATGTATAACGAATTTTATAATATGAACAGTTCAGATTATAAAAACAGATTCGGAACGCGCTTCGAAAGAGCCGCACAACACACATATTGTGCCATAAGGCACAACACCTACTCCGAATCCGTCGTTCGGGTTCTTTGTTATCTACAGCAAATCTCATTTTGATAATTTATATTATTTATTTTGTAAAACTTTTATGTATATCATTTATTAAAAAAATTAAATTAATTTGATGATAATAATTCATTTGATTTATAGCGTTTATCAATAAAAAATGATTAATTAAACGAATTATATTTATCAAATTAATTTAATTTTTTATATAAATAATTTATAAAATAAAAAATTTAAATTATCAAAAGAAAGCTACTGCACACCGCCTTTGATTTGACCTAAAAGGCGGCTCAGACCCAGCTTTGAATCCCCGTCAAAGTGTCAAATCAGTATTGAACCTCCATACCATACATGGCAACAAAATTGGCAATTCATTGGCTTTGCTAATTTCTTTTTCAAGTAGTTTCTTTTGGAAAATTATACAATAATTTTGTAATATTATGATCTTGTTTGATTTGTGTTTCTCAAAAAATTTTGAGAAAAATTCTTTACAAATAAGTTTTTAAAAATAGTCAAACCAAATAAATTTTTTTTAAAATTTTTTTTCAAAACTTGTTTGGTTTATAAATTTTTCAAACAAATCTCTTTCATACACATCAAATCAATAACTTTTTTCAAAATTCTCTCTCAAAATTATTTTTCAAAACATCTTTTAAAAAAAAATCAAACCAAACAAATTTTCGTACTTTTTATCTCAAAACATGTTTTTCAAATAGAAACCAAACAAGCCCTATGTATTTACACTTTGTAATCAATCATCATTTAAAATATTTTTTCATATTTTTCAATCACCTAATATAATAAAACTTTTTGAAAAGTAGATTATAATTCACTTTTCAGATTATAATCCACTTCTCTCTCTCACAAAAAGCTAATTATAATTAGCTTTATAATTAATTTTTAACTAAAAAACTGATTATAACCATCTTCGTGTCTATACTCTGAAATTACTGAATAATCACTCGAGAGTATGTGTGTGTTTTATTATTACTTTCAGATCTTATCAAATTAGAACTATAAAAATAAACCATTGTGCTACGTAGCTCGAAAAATCAAGATTCGAATGGTCTGAATTTATTTTTTTTTTTTTAATACCCATTTCCCTTCTTTGCCTTTTATACAGTTTCATCTCTCTCTCTCTCTCTCTCAAACATGACCAAAATGAAGTTCTAAAACTAAATCAACTGATCTGTGTATATACACAATACAAACCAAAACCAAATTAAGGCCTCGTTTGAGAACAGGTTAATTTAGTAACTTTTTGATTATTTGACTAAAAAAGTAGGTAAAAAAAACTTATATGTTTGGGATGACTTTTTGGCTAATTACGAAAAGATGTGCAAAAAGTAGAGAGAAAAGAGAATCTTTGACTTTTTGGTATGAGTTGTTGGCTTTTTGGCTAAAAGGGTAACTTTTTGGCTTTTTAACTAAAAAGGTAAGTCTCCAAACGGGGCCTAAAATTAAAAAACAAACCCACAATAACTTATCTGTATATACAAATCAAAACCAAATCAAAATAAAAAACAAATCTACAAATCAAAACCAAATCAAAATAAAAAACAAACCTACAAATCAAAACCAATTCGGAGACAGATCTGTGTATAGATCTGTGCGCATACACACATAGATCTGGTGAGAGAAGAGGGACGAAGAGACCCACCGTTGTGCCATCATCGTAGCACCATCACCTTCGTCGTGCCGCCATCACCTCTTCTCTTTTTCTTCTCTCTTCCCTCTTCTCCCTGTTCCAGAGAAGAGAAAAAAAAAATTATCCCTATTGAAGAGAAGAAAGGAAAAAAACAAAAAATAGAGAGGGGAGGGGAAGGGAAAACCATGTCGTTCTGCAATTCAGACCAATCGAGCCTCGAAAATTTCGAGCTACCAAACGTTATTAAAAAATAAAAAAACAAATTCAACTAAAAAATCTTTTAAGATTTATTTAAAACACAATTACTCCCTATAATTCAAGAAATTATATTACATCCCTTAAAATTTATAATTTCATAACAAATAATTCATTCTATTAATAAATTATCAAATCAATTAACAATTTTTAATGATATTAGAAATGTATTTTAATTAATAATTCAAATAATTTTATAATTGTAAAAGAGAACAATTAGAAATTTTTTTTTTTAATTTTGTTAAATAAAAAATTTCTGGCGAGTAAATATTTATAATTTTTCAAATCACAAGAGACTATTCGTATTTTAAGCAAACCTTAAGGGACATATTTGTAATTTATCCAAAAATTTACTATACAACCCCACACAAACTTGGATACCAATTCCCTATCCACAAAAAATAATAAATAAATAAATAAAGAGAATTTATTAAGAAATTTTTTTCAAATACTTATATCCCATTAATCCATAATAAATATTCTTATATTTCAATAAGTCCTATTATTTAAACATTTGATTCACCAAATCTTAATTCTCATATTTAAAGCATGTTATGAATGCTTTTACCCTTACAACTATTTTTTGAATGCTTAGCAACTTGGTAATGTGCATTGACAGTATGAACATTCACATCACAAACTCACACTATCAATGTGAATATAATTATTAGGATATTTTGGTAACTATGTCACCCATATCACTTATTGGAATATAAGAAAATAATTTAAACCAAGTAGAACATAAGTAATAAAGAGAGATTTATGAATAAATGCCCCATAAATAAATAACTCAAGTCAAAGTCACAAGAAATACCCACATGAAATAAACTTGCAATTAGCTTTATACTCAATGATTTGGTAAATTTGCCAAAATAAATACAGGAAGCCGCTTATTTTCCGACAGAACACAGTACGCTGATTAATACACTCCGCTCGCTTTTCTGAAGAAGGGTCACTTACCAGTAGTCATCAAGCTCAACCGGAAGTAGCCCATAAAACAAGAGAAAATATTCAATTACTCGATCTAACCGGGTAATGTTGCTGCTTCATCTTCATCATCAAGTTCCTGCTCCACCGCTTTAACCTGCACAGGAAGTTTCCAGTAAGGCAAACTAAATTGGAAGATCAGAGAAACTGCCATCTAATTCAAAACTTGATAGTCCAACCAACACAAATGAATTGAAATCACCAATGTGAACTTGCTAATGTAACATAAACAACATAAAGTCACAAGACTGAAAATATGGACCCGCTGTAAAAGAAATGAAAACTCGAGTCTCAAACTTGAGATCTAATCGAATGAAATAGCAAATAAAACAAACAGAATTTTTATCAGAATTCCCAGCAATTAAAACAATGGAAAGACGGAAAACAGAGAAAATTATTAGAGCAAGGCTTCAACATATGGAAGGAAAAACAAAGGAAAGGGGACTCTAGAGCTTGCATCTTTGGAAAAAATACTATCTATCTTACTTTAGTGTTTTCGGGGACTGATATTAATCACTTACTTAGTTCACTTCTCGTACAGAAAATATATATATATATACACACATATAGTGGATGTACTTTAACCATTTGAGTAAGGTAGCAAGGGAATAATGCAATAGTTTAGCTAAGAGTTTCCTTAAAGCCATAGGTATGTCTTCCCCAAAAGCTACTCTACTAGTAACTGGAAAAGAACCATATTCTTCAGTCACAAGAGAGTGACCACTGGCAAGGGCATAGCAAAGATTTTAGTCAAATAATAGCAACACCTTACCAAGAAACATGCACGGAATTTTTTACTATTTGCCTTTTGTCAACATTTATGCATCATGTTTTAGTCACAAGCATACCATTGACAAAATTGTTTGCACATTTCATGCAAAATTGTCCAGCCAGGCTGACTATTATTAGTATATTCACACCAAAATCAAAATGGAATGTAATAATCAATAAAGAATTATATTGGTTATCCTATTACAGACTATCAATAATGGTGGTTTTTTTTTTTTTTTTGGTGATAAATATCAATAATGGTGGTGTTGAAGGTTTTCTTTACAAAATAAAACCAAAAGCTGTAAGAAGGTTAACATTTGAAGAAATTTACAGAGTTGGCGTTCGAAAAGACCAAATTTGAAATTCCCCAAATCATAAATGCTGAAGTTAAGATCAAAAATCATCTAGAACCAGTTATGCACAAGAAACAGTCATCTAGAAATCATACAAACAGATATTATTCAGGGAAAAAAATCAGAAGACATATACATTAATCTTACATTAATACAAGATAATACTTGAGAGAACAAAAAAAATACAACACATACAGATCCAACATTAATCTTTCCATTTCTTTCCACAAATGCAGATTGAACAATCAGTCACCCAAGTCATGGATGACATATGTTACCTGGAACGTAAATCGTCCAGTACATGGAACGGGAATGGGAGTATGGTACGCCACATACTCTAAAATATGGTACGATAGGGTAGGCTTGTATATCACTTAAAAATTTAAGGTACTTCTAGAGAAAATTTTCTTTCAACTATTAGACGTCCAATAAAATGTAATTTTTTTTATGAAGCAAAACATTTCTATAAGTATTATGACCTGTGTTTGATACTTTTGTCTTGTCAAAACTTAACTCACCTTAGATTTTAATTCATTATATTTGTGTTTTTTTTTTTTTTTTCTCCTAAGATAACATTTAAGAAAATATATTGGAAAAAACTGATGGGATCACATCAGATCACTAAATTTACCATTTTGGAACAGAAATATACCACATATTTTGGAACGTATGTATCAATACGTAATTCACTTGGTTATTAGTGTTTTCTGGTATGACTACAAATTGGCTATGCTACTTCTCCATTTCTTTCCAATAACTAGTGGGAGAGGAGAGGAGAGAAGAATGACAAAAAATATATGAATTTATAAAATTTGACTGTGTAAATAACCCTTGATGAAGCAGAATGGCAAAAATGATTCATGCAGCCAATCCCACTTGAGTAGTTTGGTTTACTTAACTGATGAGAGAGGAGATGAGACTTTGATTTGGGGAGGAGGGAGGGTGGGAGGCAAAGGGGGAAGGGTTTAGAAGCATTGAGATATGCAACATTTTTTGGGTATATGCCAGTTACATCATGGTGTATAAATTTAACATCCATTTAGATGCATAGGAAGGAGGGCACATGTTTAGCTAAGTTCAGAGTATCCTACTCTAGTTAAATTTTTGTAAACATTCTACCGCAAGTCTTCTAAATTCGAATAGAACCCTGTTGACCAATGGCTTTGACCAATACCAGGGATTTCGTCGTGAAGACAGTGTGAGATTAACTCAACAAATCATAGAACTCATGATGTAAATATATCATAATTTCAGGGAAAATCATTCAGACAACCTATCCTCATGATTATATCCAAGTTTATGATCTCTCTCCATCCTACATTTAAGTGTCAGACTACAATCATAAACAGCAAGAATCTAAATAATGACTGTTACCTCGGGCACATAATGCATCAGCATGTTCTCAATGCCAGATTTCAGAGTAACAGATGAGCTAGGGCAGCCACTGCATGCTCCTTGCATTCTAAGTTTGACTATTCCTGTATCTCTGAGGAAAGCAAAATGTGCATAAGAATTAAATTATGCTGAATCACAAATAAAGAAATTATTCAATTCAGTCTTCAGCATTTAAAAAGTATTTGATGGAAGAAACCTACGGATCAAATCCCCGGTACTCAATATCTCCACCGTCATCTTGTACTGCAGGTCGGATACGAGTTTCCAACAGTTCTTTAATCATTGCAACAATCTCTGAATCATCCTGCAATAGGGACCATGAGAAATGATCACAATTTTGGGACTAAAACACCATTGAATAGCTGCATATAATCATAAATATTAGCAACGACATATCCCTAGAGTTCTAACTCCAAGTGTACGTCTGGTTTTCTTTCAACCCTAATCACTACGTTCCTTCAAATGTAATAGCATACCACATCAATGAACTCTGCACACATGTTAATAGATCTGTAAAACGCAAAATGGATAAATGGTACTCAACTGGCAGTCATATTTCTTTCATAATGCAAATAGACAAAAATATCTTCAGATACTACATTTACTCGTCAACATCGCCTGTATAGTTAGTATCTTACATGTGCAACTAATAAGGTAATGATACATAGAGACACTTTCAATTGTCACAATAATACAACAGGCTACGCTTGAAACCGATTAGCCAAGTTTCAGTGAAAGGAGCAACCACAGTTTGTTTTGATTATATTCTTAGCGAGTTGGAAATCAATGCAGAAACCCAAGAAACTTTCAATTATTAACATAACACAATTAACCTATTGGCTAAGTTTACCAGAAAGAAGACAACAAATTTTATTTCCATTACATTGTTAGCAAGTTGGACATTCATACTAAAAAAGAGAAGCACACTTCCAAATATTAACATAATAAAACAGAGTGGATTTGCCCCGTAGGCTAAGGGAGTCAACAAATCTGTTGTCAACATGATCTTGGCAAGTTGAACATGATAGATACAAGCTCTTTCTTTTGGTGTATGCACACGTATTGAAGGTCCTCATGAGAGGACTTTCACAAGCCTTTTGTTTTATATAAATTAAATAATGAAATAGTAATTCAAAAACAAAATTTTAAGGGTAAATTACACTGACTCCCCTGAAGTTTGCTTTTAATACATATTCTCCCTTGATGTTTCAGAAATTACACTGACCTCTCCTGTTAGTGTTTGCCTGTTAACGTGGTTGACAGAAATGATTGAATTATCTTTTAAGCTTTTACTACTTTTCTCTCTCCTCTACACTCTTATAAAGAAGTTCAAGGAACTTGCCCATGGCCTCCAATTCCCAGTCTCCTATCCCACATAACTAAGATGTTCCTCATTGTACCTCTAGCTACTACACAACCTCACAGCTCACAAACTAAGAACTCTAGAGGCTTCTGTCCAGCTCATTGTTCATGTTTTAAATTTTTTTGTCTCTTGCAAGAAGCCGACATCTACTCTCCAAGCTTAGATAAGTGAATTAGCTACTTTCCTCTTATCTGGGCAATTAAGCCCCCCACACGACATGCAAAGTTTTTCAACTTCATTTGGAATTAAAAAGGCAGTGGCCTCTCCCTCCTACCAGCACTTCCCACCCACTAACAATTTTTTGTGAACCATGAACCACCCATAGTAGCTACGGACTATGGTGATGGGATTTGTATGTTGGCTGGTTTTAATTAGTGGAAAATAAGGCTTAACTTTTTGAATGTCATACTGCAATTCTACATATAAATGTGGGTTTGTTTAGATGATCCTAAAACTCTTTCTTTGATCGAGTTCAGCACTATTGGATATGAATGTTGAACTTCAGTTTGTTATTTGATACAGTTTGTTTGCTAATAAGATGAACATAAAGAATGATATATTTTGATGACTTGTTTGTTTCCTACCATCTCTCTGTTCCCGGTTTTCTCGGCAGCCAACCTAAGGATAATTTTTTACTTCTGCTTTTGGGAGCAAAGTGCTTTAAAAGATTTTCCAAAAAATAAGAGGTGCTGGTGGTGTGGCAGTGGGGTAGTAATGGTGATAGTTACTGTCATCAAAAGCCATTGTAAAGAGAGAAGGAAAAAGTGGAAGGAAGGAAGGACAAGAAGAGACGATGGTGGAGTAAAGGCAGAGGTGGGTGTTAGTTGGTGGCTGGAAGTGGGTGATGGTCGTAGAGGTCGGGTGATTCTAGGTTTGTGGTTAAGAAAAAAAATTACAGATGGAGGAGGGAGAGGGATATGACTGGTAAGAGCTAAAATTAGAATTTTAAGAAATTTAATTGTTTGACTCAGCATTTTCCATTAGTTGGCTTCACGGTTGACTAATGGAGGAGAGAAATTGTAATATGACTCTAAACCTCAAGGCGGGGGATGTAATTTCCCTAATGTCAGGGGTATTAACATAATGGAGCCGAACCTCAAAGGGTGTCAGTGTAATTTACCCTTAATTAAAACTACAACAATTTGTGACAAGAGCCCATATGTTTGGCACAGTACACACTGCTCATTTCAGGCACAAAGGTGCACCAAGGCATGACACAAGTGCCTCAGACCTTGAATCATGAACTTGGAGCAATTGACTTGCAAAGTCACACCTCAAAGATGTTTTCTTGGGGATTCTTCAGAATCCTTCAAAGTACTCTCACACCAAGACTGGGAATCAGCAAGCATCAAAAAATTCATAAGCATAAGACTAAAGTTCAAAGACATACTTCACTAATAGCTGTGTCCATGGAAGCTGCAGTATTAGCGTCCAAAAAGAGAGGCTTCCCAGAGGAATAGAAGTCCATAATTGCAGCAAAAATTTCGGGCTTTAAAATATCCCAGGGAACATCTTCTGATTTTGTTACAGTTATAAAATCTGATCCAAAGAAAACTCGAGTAATTCCTGTATTAGCAAAGAATAATTAGTCTAACTCATCGACCACCACCCAAATATTTGTAATTACATGAGAAGTTACAAAATGGTCAATTAACCAAGAACAAGCATACAAGACAAAAGTGCATGCTCTTGTGACCAAAGTTCAAGGGATAACAAAGACACGTTTCTGGAATAACTAATTCACTTTCAGGATCATCCTAAAACCTAAATTAGAGAGCAAACAATAAAGAGTTATTAAAGGCATAATCCTACCTATGGTCTCCAGCTAAATCTTAAGAGTTAAGAGTAATAGTGACTATCCTTCCTCTACTGTTTGATGATATGTTCTGGTGCCTAATAATAATAAATAATCTGCCTCTCATTCGAGGCTAATTTACCTTTAAAACATAAGGAAGAAAAGCAAAAGGAAGATAAAAACAGAAGAAGATGACGAGTTCTTCAATAAGTAGGTCAGCCACATCAAACTTGTTTTGCCTTTCCATCATATGCAGGGAAAACGCACACAATAAAGCCTCATTCCAATTATTTGAAACTCACTCTTGCACTCTCTCTGAGCCAGATATGCTCAAATGCAACCTCATGCAGTTCTTCAGAGTCTATTGGTGGAACTTTAATAGGTTGTTACACCACATAAGTAACATTTAATTTTTTATTTTATTTTTTGATAAATAAACAAACTCTATAAAGAAAGCATCAAGATGATGCAAGGAATACAAAACACCTCCAATTTGGGGAAAACACCATCCCTTGACCAATTACATCATCCAAGAAATCTAACACAGCAAACATATCCAAATCTACCTTCCTCTCCAAAACAACTAATAGACCACTCTAACCAAGATATATAGTGTTGAACCTCTTGAAAAGTTCGCCTATTCCTCTCCAACCAAACTAACCACATCAAGCAAAGCAGAGCCAATGACCAAACACGCCCTCGACAACGCCCAACATAAGCCCCCCACCAACTCCAAAGCATATCCATCACCCTCTGTGGCTCTACCCAAACAATCCCAAAAAGGGAGCAAATGAGCCCCCACAACCAAGAAGCCACAAAACAATGTAAAAACAGATGATCTATCGACTCCACAGTAGCACAACACATACAACTCCGATTAACTAAAATATGACCACGTTGTACCAAATTATCAATTGTGAGATTCCAACCTGAGACTGTTGTCCACATAAAGAAAGCCACCTTAGATGGAACTCCCAGCATCCAAATACTCTTCCAAGGAAAATCCTCCTCACCTCCCCCACCAAACTCCAATAGAACAACAAAACAGAGAACCGCTCCTTTGTGCCCACACCAAAACATCCCCTCCCCCAACTCCAGTAACCCCCAACCCATACAGAAAACCCCACAACTCCACCAACTGATCAACCTCTTAATCCTAAACTTACTGCCGCAACTGAATATTCCAAACCACCATATCCCCACTCCCCTAGATAAAATGCCACCGTAGCCTCCCGATCAGCCACAATGCTGAAAATCAAAAGAAAGCGATCCTCCAACAAAGCCTCACCACACCACCAATCCTTCTAGAAACGCACCCTCCTCCTATCACCCACCTAGAATCCCATCCTATCCCAAAACTCCATCCTCTCCAACCAGATCCCTTTTCACAAACTGCACCCATAAGTACCAATCACATCCCCTAACCCCCACTCCCCCCACCCACTCCATATTTAGCAACCACCACCCTCCACCAAAGACGGTCATGCTCTAACACAAACGGCTACATCAACTTTCCTAACAATTCTCTATTAAAAGTTATCAAACTCCGAATCGCCAACCCCCTTACCTTTTTAGGACAACAAATCTGCTCCCAGTCAACCAAATGATACCTGAAATCTTCCCCTCCACTACCCCACAGAAAATCTCTTTGAAGTTTCTCCAATAGCAGTGCCACCAACACCGTACCAATCACATCCCCTAACCCCCACTCCCCCCACCCACTCCATATTTAGCAACCACCACCCTCCACCAAAGACGGTCATGCTCTAACACAAACCGCTACATCCACTTTCCTAACAATTCTCTATTAAAAGTTATCAAACTCCGAATCCCCAACCCCCTTACCTTTTTAGGACAACAAATCTGCTCCCAGTCAACCAAATAATACCTGAAATCTTCCCCTCCACTACCCCACAGAAAATCTCTTTGAAGTTTCTCCAATAGCAGTGCCACCAACACCGGAATAAGATGCACAGACATAAAGTAAGTAGGAATGCTACTCAGCACACTCGTAATCAAAGTCAACCTCCCCCTTTTCGAAAGATATTACCTCTTCCATCTTGCCAACCAAAGTTGAACCCGCTCCACAACCCCTTTCCACACCCTTTCGCCTTAAAAGGTGCCCCCAGCGGCAAACCCAAATAAGACGCCGGAAAAGCCGACACCTTGCAGCCCAAAACCACCTCTAGCATTGGTAGATTATCAACCTCCCCCACCGGAGTCAGCTCCAGCTTCCTCCAGTTAACTCAAAGACCCGAAACCGCCTCAAAACATAGCAAAACACATCTCAAATACCCCACCTACTCTGCTACAGCCCTATAAAAAATCAAAGCATCATCTACATACAATAGATGAGGAACACAAATGGGCGCCCTAGACAAAGAACCCACCGAAAACCCCTCAAACAAGCCTTCACAGACTGCCCTATCCAACAATCTACTCAAAGCCTCCACTACTAAAAATAAATAATAATAGTGACAAAGGATCCCCCTATCGCAGACCTCAATGCATCGAAAAAAAATCCTGCCAGAGTACCATTAACCAGAACAGATATCCGCACAGTAGAAACACAGAACTTAATCCACTGACGCCAAGTCTCCTCAAAACCCATGCGATCCAAAACATACCATAAGAACTCCCAACTAACATTGTCATAAGTCTTCTCTATGTCCAATTTACAAATCAAACCAAGCCACCCTTGTCGAATCTAAGAATCCACGCACTCATTAGCCACCAAAACTGCATCCAAAATCTGTTGCCCACCTACAAACACATTTTGAGATTAGAACACAACATCCTGCAAAACTCCCCTAAATCTATTTGCCAAAACTTTAGCCAATAGCTTATATACACTCCCCAGCAAACTGATTGGCCTAAAATTTCGAATATCCTCAGCTCCCCTTTTCTTAAGAATCAAAGCCAAAAAGGTTGCATTGAAGCTCCTCTCAAACTGCCCAAACACAAAGAAAGCCTCCATTGTCGCCATCACATCCACTTTGACCAAACTCCAATAATGCTGAAAAAATGCCATAGTAAAATCATCTGGGCCTGGTGCCTTATCTCCACTCATCACCCCCAAAGCCCTAAACACCTCTTCTTCTATAAAAGCTCTCTCCAAAGCCACCCTATCCTCTCTTAAGATCATATCAAAATGAACCCCATCCAACCCCGGCCGCCACTCCCCTTCTTGCGGCCGAAACAAATGTTGATAAAAGCCCACTATCCCCCTCCTGATTTCCTCATCTATATTCAAATCTCAACCATCCACACGCATCCTACAAATCTGATTAACCCGGCGATGAGCATTAGCCATCCGATGAAAAAATTGTGTTTCGATCAACCATAAGCATCTAGATTTTTGTCTATAACCCTGCTCCTCCAAACGGGAAATACGAACAAAATCCTGTCTAGCCGCTTCCTTCCTGACAACATCATCACTAGATAACCCCCACTGAGCCTCTGTCTTATCTAGGCACTGAAGCAAAGACATCACCTCCGCCTTCTAGCCCTCTATTCGACCAAAGACCTCCTCATTCCAACCTTAAGATCACCCTTTAGCAATTTCAATTTCTAGGCCAATACACAACTAGGCGATTCTCGAACAACATAACTATTCCACCACCCACGGACCATATCCAAGAAACCATCCGACTACAACCACATGTTCTCGAATTGGAACAGCGTTGGACCACTACAAATCCCCCCACTATCAAGCAAAAGGTGCCAATGATCAGACATTGGACGAGGAAGAATCTGAACCACCTCCGAGAAATGTTCCTCCCAGACACTAGAAATCAAAAACTGGTCAATCCGAGACAAACTCTGTCCTTTCAACCAAGTGAAACTCCCCCTTGAAGCTGCAAATCAATCAATTGCAACTCATCAATGAATGAACAAAAATTCCGCATAGAATTCAACACCCAAGAACTCCCCACCTTCTCTGTCAGCCACCTAACCACATTAAAATCACCCCCCACACACCATGGCTCTGACCAACAAAAAGCCACACTCCCCAATTCTTCCAGGAACTCACCTTGATCTATACTCCGCACCGGACCATACACTCCCATGAACACCCATCGAAAATTATCCTCCAAAACAAGCAAGACACAGAAAAAAAAATCCCATCTCCTCCTCCTCCTCCTGCACCACTTTCTTATCCCAACAAAGAAGAACTCCGCTCGTTGTACCCAAAGCCGGCAAGTACATCCACTCCACAAACCTCCCACCCCAAATTTCACGCACCATCTCCTCCCCTAGCACCTCCATCTTTGTCTCCTGTAAACACACAACTTTCGCACTATGCAAAACCGTCATCATTGCCACTCTCTTATCCCTATCATGCAACCCCTATGCATTCTATGACAGAATTTTTAACTTCATTTCAACAAAAGCGGTCCCCCACGGTTCTCCTCGATCCACGCACTGTCTTCGCCTCCCCATGATCATAATTAATGAGCATTCTAAATTCTAAGCTCTCAATTCCCTTTATGAAGAATATTTGACGAAGTTACCATCTCCTTGCTAGGAGACCCCCGCCGCGATGACACCTCCACTACCGAAAATAGTCTCAAGGCCTCATCCTCATGACCTTCAAATGACAACCCTAGCAACCAATTGACATCATTAATTCGTTCCAACACCCAATCAAAAACCTCTTAGCCAATGGCACATTGTCCCTGCCCAAACCACCATTGCCACAATCATCCTACCGAACACGATCCGACCAAGCCTCCTGCAAGCCATCATCAAGGACAAGAGATTGCAATAA